TTCAAAGGCGCACTCCTACGTGAGTACTTCCGCATCGTTATCATCCCCACCTCCATTAATTTTTGTAGCAACAAGAGTGCACAGGCAATGTGAATAACATAAAAAAGCATTTCCTTACTTTTTCGTCAACATCCATGGGGTCACAGACACCACCAGCACCACTCTCATCGATTTTCAGCCCGCCTTCGGGTTCAAGCGCCTACCGAAAGCAAAATTGACATAAACAAAGCAATGCCACAAAAATGGTAGGTTGACTTTACAAAGAGGTAACACACCCCGTCAAGTTTGCACTTTTCCCGGTTCAATTTCAAGGTTTCAAATGCTACAGCACTTAATTACATGGACTTCATCCTTCCATCTCTACATCAAATCCATCAAGAGTGACAAAAATGGAATGCGCGTAATACTACTGCAGAAGTCATTTCTGAGATCAATCTTGATTAGCTGGAAGAACACTACGCCAAGCACCGGACATCATCACCAAATCTACAGAGAACTGTTAGAGCTGGACCGATTACGACATTTGTTTTACTCTCGACTAAACTAGAGGCGTTGTCTTGAACTAGTAAAGTTGAAATTGTGGCCTAAAGGCGAAATGCTTTCCACAGCGAAGCACTACAACAACTGACAACCAATGTGTCAGCTATACTGATTGACCATTCCGCTTCGCTCAACTTCTTCATACCAATCCAAGTCAGCTAAATAAGAGGAGTCATTGTATAGCCTTTACTTTATTTGAAGACATGATGCCTAAGTTAAAAGAGCAATCAGAGAAGGCGACATTTAAAAATGCCAATTCAGCCTCCAGCGAAATCGTACTCACAATGAAGTTACGTGTTATTAACCTTCCACATCCTATGCCCACCTCATAATAAACCTTGGTCTCGGATTTTACTAGAGAAAAACCAACGCTATAACTTACATCTCCCTCGTCTATTGCCAGCGCCACCGTTGCTGCTGCCGCATCAGTATCACCATTTCTAACAGCTGGGGCCGTCGAAGCAGTGACAGCAGCAGTACTTTCATCGACAATACTAATGTCCATCGGTTCGGTCTTATCGCTAGCTTTTGAGGCGTCATCCGAGCAACTTGCACCTCCATTGCCACTGGGGTTGGAGGAGGTCACAGCAACGCAGAGGGGTTGAGTGAGAGGAGTGGATGATCCCTCTGGTCTATCACAGCCACCACCTTCACCACTAGCTGCAGTATTTGATGTAGTTGCATCTGTCCCTGCAACTGACGCGGTTTCTGGGGCAGTGGTGGAGTCTGGAATGCTGTAGAGACCGTTGATTTGCTCAAACTCCTGCACCTAAAATGAATTTATAAGTGCATGGCATTCCGTCTGCGGCTGCTAACATGCGCGTAACAGTTGCATAAGATTGAACGGCTACCTCTCGATTCCAACTTGAGCCGGCTGAGGACTTATACTAGCCGTGGAATTATGCATTTGCCCAATCTCTCGCACCTTAAACGAGAGAGAAGAAAATAAAATCCTGCACGATTAAAGACATTAAGCTGCATGATCAGCTCTAAGCAATGCTAGAAATTTGCAATCCTAAATTCGCTAAAATGAAACCAGGACCAGAATGCAAATAATTCTGGTGAGTTTGTAGAAATGACAACCTTCTGCCTCGAAATATCACTTAGTCTCCCAGAAGATTATTAAAAGCGGAGTACAAAACTAAACATAATCCTATCTGGAGTTGCATTCGCGAATTTTTATTTGCAATGCAGAAACTTGAACAATTTAAGTGCAAGTACTTACCTTTTTGCGCACCAAGGCCATAACGCCAATACGGGAGAGGATGGGTTGGTGAGAAATCCCATCCCTTGGGGTGCCATCAGAGTACGTGGCATTATTGTCCTGATTCATGCTCTCCGGCTCACACAAGTGGCGCATGAAGAGGGCCACATAGGCACGGAACACGCGTTCCGGTTTGCCCTTAAGATCGCGCGAATGCCAAGCCGTAGAGGCGGTAGCTGACGCCGCTGATACGCCTCCCATGGATAGCGAGGAAGGCGGCGGTGGCAGTCCATAGCGGAGGACTGAGTTAACAAAGGCGCGACGCTGACGAATGTTGAAGCCGAGCACCTCAATTTGACCGTTCACACGGGACAGTAGGGGAGGCATCTTGCCCTCACGTTCCCGTCGAACCCGACGACCAATCTGAGAGCCCATGCCCTCACCGCCGCCACCTGCCTTCTCGTCGTATTCGTCGTCGTCCTCATCCTGTGTCAACAATGCAAACAAGATCCACAATGCATTACTATAGGCGCTAGACCCTCGAAATTAACTACAAATGAGCATTAATAAATAATTTAGAAGCATTTAAACAGAAAACCCAACTTCCGATCTGCAGAGGACTTAAGCTTAAACTTATACTGTTACTTCCCCATGGCCATAGGAACAAGCAAGCCAGCATGATTTAAATAAAATCCAACCCTAATTTATTTAGTTGGTTACAAAAGCTTGCCAAAGTTAAAAACAATCAATAACTACCCACAGATGGAGATCAATTTGAATGAGTCGTAATACCAATGGGAGGTCACAGTATTCCTCTTTCTCCATTGTAGCTTCTCAGCAATGCAGACACAAAAATATTCTCTAGCTA